CCGGGTAACCTTCCCGAGAAATCCCGCATGAGTGCCCGAGTTTTCCCGCATCCCGGGTAAACCTTCCCGGGTTTTCCCGCATGAGTCCCGGAATTTCCCGCACGAGTGCCCGAGTTTTCCCGCATACCGGGTAACCTTCCCTGGAAATCCCGCATGAGTGCCCGAGTTTTCCCGCATCCCGGGTAACCTTCCCGAGAAATCCCGCATGAGTGCCCGAGTTTTCCCGCATCCCGGGTAAACCTTCCCGGGTTTTCCCGCATGAGTCCCGGGATTTCCCGCACGAGTGCCCGAGTTTTCCCGCATACCGGGTAACCTTCCCGGGAAATCCCGCAGGAGTGCCCGAGTTTTCCCGCATCCCGGGTAACCTTCCCGAGAAATCCCGCATGAGTGCCCGAGTTTTCCCGCATCCCGGTTAACTTTCCCGGCAAATCCCGCATGAGTGCCCGAGTTTTCCCGCATCCCGGGTAAACCTTCCCGGGATTTCCCGCATGAGTACCCGAGTTTTCCCGCATCCCAGGTAAACCTTCCCGGGATTTCCCGCATGAGTGCCCGAGTTTTCCCGCATCCCGGGTAAACCTTCCCGGGATTTCCCGCATGAGTGCCCGGGTTTTCCCGCATCCCGGGTAAACCTTCCCGCGTTTTCCCGCATGAGTCTGGGATTTGCCGCATGATTGCCCGAGTTTTCCCGCATCCCAAGTAAACGTTCCCGGGTTTTCACGCATGAGTCCCGAGTTTTCCCATATCTCATATAAACATGAGTTTTCACGCATGAGTCCCCAGCATTCTTAATTCACTCGTCCACGCTACGGAACCAAATTTGTTGAAGGTTTTTTTTTTTCTTTTCCTCCCTTAAAAAATCCAACACAATGGACTCCACTTAAAAAACCTACGAACGGAAATGATGCTAACCAAAACCAAGGATGATTGCCGAAACAATCCGAAATCATGCTACCAAAACAAGCCAATATGATTCAATTTACCAAAAACTAGACCCAAAACGAGCACGCAAGCAGGGTGTGTGTTTTGCTGCATTGGGTTTCCGGGTGATGCCGGGTTTTTGGCAAAACGTTCCGGCATTTGTGAGACTACTGAAAAAGTATAGTGGGTGTGCTTGGCCATATTTTGGAGAGAGCACCGATGGTTTTAGGGCAACGGATGATGGCTTTAGAAAATTTTTGAGTTTAGGGGCATGTGCTGCAATGGAAGAACAAATCGATAATGAGTATAGAGAAACTCATAGCTTATTGGATGGCTTGTTGATGTATTAGCGAAAGTTACTGTTCCAACACGTAGCCATCCATCGTGTTCTTTCTTTCAAAATACCCTTAGCCTAGTATTGCCAGCATTCTTAATTAAGGCATCGATGTTGGGTTATTTAGAAAGAGAGAGAGTGTTGCCAACATTATAAAAATCGAATCGATGAGTTGTTTTCAAAACACCATTCCTTGTTGGGGATACCGGTCTTTCTCGATAATGCGGCATTTTGCATTTCTTCAAGTCTCCCGGGCTTTTTTTGTGTGCCGTCTATCATGTCCCGGTATTTTCCGCATTTCGGGGCATTACGGCGGGTGGCCTTTCCGGGATTTCCCGCATCCCGGTTGACCTTTCCTGGGAATCTCCGCGTTCCGGGTGGGATTCCCCGCAAAAGGTGTGCCGGGTGGGATTCCGAGATTTTCCCGCAACCCTTCCCGCGTTTTCCCGCATCCGTTACCGAGTTTTCCCGCACAGGCTTACCGAGATTTTGAAACGTGGTTTTCAAATACCACCGTGGTCTTTAAAGACCACCACCCTTGCACGCCTTGGCCCGGGTTTTCCCGCATCCGTTACCGAGTTTTCCCGCATCCCGTCCCGAGTTTTCCCGCAGCCCTTACCGAGTTTTCTCGGACACTCATGCGGCAAATCCCAGACTCATGCGGGAAAACGCGGAAGGTTTACCGGGATGCGGGAAAACTCGGGCACTCATGCGGGAAATTCCGGGACTCATGCGGGAAAACCCGGGAAGGTTTACCCAGGATGCGGGAAAACTCAGGCACTCATGCGGGAAATCCCGCGAACGTTTTCCCGGGATGCGGGAAAACTCGGGCACTCATGCGAGTTATCCCGCATCCCGTCCCGAGTTTTCCCGCAAACCTTACCGAGTTTTCCCGCACAGGCTTACCGAGAATTTAAAACGTGGTTTTCAAAGACCACCGTGGTCTTTAAAGACCACCCTTCCATGCCTTAGCCAAATTTTCGAGTTTTCCAGGATGGTTTTCAAAGACCACCGTGGTCTTTGAAGACCACCACCCTTGCACGCCTTGGCCCGGGTTTTCCCGCATCCGTCCCGAGTTTTCCCGCAGCCCTTACCGAGTTTTCCCGCATAGGCTTACCGAGATTTTGAAACGTGGTTTTCAAAGACCACCGTGGTCTTTAAAGACCACCCTTCCTTCCCGGGTTCCATGCCTTAGCCAAATTTTCCAGATTTTCATGATGGTTTTCAAAGACCACCGTGGTCTTTAAAGACCACCACCCTTGCACGCCTTGGCCCGGGTTTTCCCGCATCCCGTCCCGAGTTTTCTCGCATCCCGTCCCGAGTTTTCCCGCAACCCTTACCGAGTTTTCCCGCAACGGCTTACCGAGATTTTGAAACGTGGTTTTCAAAGACCACCGTGGTCTTTAAAGACCACCCTTCCATGCCTTAGCCAAATTTTCCAGGTTTTCATGATGGTTTTCAAAGACCACCGTGGTCTTTAAAGACCACCACCCTTGCACGCCTTGGCCCGGGTTTTCCCGCATCC